TTCTTTTTCGCGGATTCTAAAAAAAAGAAGAAAAAAAAAACCTGTGCAACTTCCCACGTGTGTCACAACCAATAGAAAATATTTTAAGCTTCACATATGACCGCTTGCCTGACTAAACATTGTTGTTTGTCAAGAACAATTGCGATCGTATGAAATCACGTGGGAAAAACTCGTTCTAAGCACGCGACCGTTGGCATGCAGTGAATACTCATAATCGGCGCCGAGATGATTGGTGGCCATCAGCAGGTGGAGTTTTTCTACCAACCCAGAGTTAGCGTGTTTTCTTTTTTCTGTTGTAAGCAATCAAGAGACAACTTACAGCAAATCTGAGGGTAATAAATTATTATGAGCATTAAAACACAATGGCCTCAGCAGTATATGTGTACAAGCTTTAGCTTTTGATGCACACGTTAGTGTAAAACGTAAAGCTGTTTCATTCTTAATCAGCGTACCATGTGCGTGCTTACACTATATTTTATACAACGTCAAAGCCTACCCGTTTGCATAGTTTTCATTTTTGCACAGCACTACTTGCGCGCATGAATCACCAAATTAAGACTGGCAGGATGTCACAAAAACAATTTACAGGTTTTTTTCTACCGCAAAAATAAGCTACGCATTACCTAACGCTCATTCTCCGCCCAAAGGTAGCACTAGGTCACAACCAGATGCCAAAGTTTCATCCCGAATGGACACCTTATTCAATAGTTATAAGTGATTTTCTGAAAATTACAATGGGGAAAATGGAGCCCATTTTTGGGCCTGTTTTTCGTTTCTGGTGCCATAGAGCCCCATGTATACGAAAACTCCGTCGGCCGCTATTTTCCCATTGAACTTTTCAGAAAATCACCTATAATTTTTGAATAAGGTATCGTATTGGGCTGAAACTTTGACATCTGGTTGTACCTCTAGCGCTAACCTATGGGCGGAGAATGAGCGTTCGGCGATGCCTAGTTTATTCTTGCGGTAAAAAGAAACCCTGTATTTTTTTCTTGTGACACCCTGCAACTTGCTTAAACTATGTGCAAAAGCTATCAACAAACCCAGAATCTTTGCCTGGTCAGTCATTGCATTTATCACCGAATTCGTATTAAAATTAATAATTATTCTTTATTGCTGTGAGTATATTTTTAACCTGGACATTTTTTTATTATGGCACCAGTCCTACTTTGGGCTTACCAAACTCAACATCTGAACCTGAGTGTCATTTTTTGTGTTTTTCAGTCTCGCGGTTTGGGTCAAAATGGACACCCAGCTACCTAAATGAGACACCTGACCGCCCAAATATAGTCTTTTCTTTTAGATAGTTAATTCCTCAAGCTAGAATTTTGATAATCAAACTATGACGTCATCACGTTTTGCTGGAAATCCACAAAGATCCAAACACATGCACGATAAAAGGGCCGGCCCGTCATATTGCCGCCCGCAGAGCCGAGAAAGCAACGCTCGGTCACGGACTTCTGGAAGATTCGCGTTCATTCTTGCATGGGAGTGAACTTTCGCCCTGTTTTCTTGTCCTCGAAAGTGCCAGTTCATCCTCGCCCCGAACGCGCGACGCTCGAACCTTCTTTGCCGAACTTTCGAGATGGTGATGTGACGCACTCTAGATAAGCAGCTGCCAGCGACCTTGTCGAGTCAGTCTCGCTCTCGCTCTTTGTTACGCTGCCGAATCGCCGCCTGCTTTTCTGCTGCCTCGACGCTCTTTGTTTACTCTTTTTTTGTTTGGAACAAGTTCGCCGATTGAACCTTTATTTTTCAGTTCACTGTTCGTCCTCTCGTCACCTTCGTTCGTATCAGTATAAATCTGATCACATTGTAATATGTGTCATTGGCCTCTGAAATCTCCGATAACGGCGCGCAGGCAATTTTATATTTTTCAACGCGTCGGTAGTTTTGTTGTGCACGTATCTCGCCATTTGGCTCAGGACGATTTTCTCGTTTTGTTCTGCCTACATTTGCTGGAGACGTGAGCTCGGAGCGTGGCAACTGGCCCCCTTGCACAAGAACGGGCGCAGCCGTGCGCGTTCCAAAGAAAGCTCGTGCAGAGAAAACCAAGCAAGGGACCAGGGATGTCAAATTCTGGATATAGAAGAATACCCCACTGTATCGAAGCGCAACCACACACAATTTCTCGCATTGATGTACAGGCCTGGAAGGCGATCCCACCGCCATCTGTTGGTTCAGAATCACACTACCCAGGGGTGGGGTTGCACCTTAATGCATGCTTGTTGTGTTTTTGTACTTGAGCCTCTCTGTTAGTGTTTCGAGGTATGTGGACGAGCCAGTGCTGGGAATTTCGGCGCTGCGAAGCTCGCGGATCTTGCTTGTGTGCGAATCAGCAAGCTGTAGCAACCAATAAGTATGCATACATCTAGCTCGAGCAAGTTAGTATTGTTGATCAGGAAGTTTGCTTCGTGCGTCCATAGACGAAATATAACTTTTTGCGTTTACTGTTTTTCTTAATGCGCCTGAGTACGCGAGGTAAAACTCGGAGGCGCCATTGAAAAGCTCTATTTGAACACACTTCTGATCTCTTATATGTACTGCCCCGCAGCACTGCACGAAGTGAAGTTTCCACCCGCTTGGGCATTCCACTAATATTGAACATCGCGTATGCGCATAAGTTATCCTGCAAACATATATACACATTCGCACATAAAAATCGTTTTAAGAAATAAAAAGTCGAGCGCTTGTGTGTAGAATGTCGCATCGTCCGCCGGAAGTGCGCCGGACGGGCATGAACCCTTCTGTGGTGCGCCAAACGAACGAAATTATTCAAAGCGCATTTGACTTGCTACTGGTTATCATATTTGTTTTGTGTTTGCTTTCTTCCTGACTGAGTATGCCGAGATAATTTCAGACACACCAAGACACAGATCTTGGGCGACAGGGAAAGCTCGTCCAAAAAGGCTTACCGAGGAGTAGGGGACGCTTATTAGGGCCTCCGACGTAGCAAGCCGATCTCAGTGTTTGCGAAAACGTATTCTTCTACCAGCATAAAATTTAAGTGTGAGATATGTGATGACACGAGGAGGACATCATAGTAACTTTTGTGCAGTAGTGAGGTCGAATTTTATTGCGTTTCCTTAAAAGTTCACGCGCCAACGCTGGGCTCAACTTTGATGATCCTGTGAAGATGCGGCTTGCTTTTCGCCCAATGAAGTAACAAGAAGCGGACGTTTGGCAAACAAAATTTGGCCAAGGTGACAAAATTTCAGTTGTTGTTCACTAGTACTAGACGGGATTACTGACATTGAGCTCAAATATGCATTCGTGGTTTGAGGGGACTTCTTACTACGTTTGCATACGCACGCAGAATATCCGGTGTTTCGGGAACCAAGGAAAGTGCCCCGGTCTTCGTTTTGTATCGCTTGAGAATGAGTGTATTGTACATTCGTAAAAAGTCAAATAATCGAAAACGCAATCAGCGCGTTCGGTCGCGGCGTGACAGCATGAGATGAACCTGCTCACTCCAAATCGAAACTGAGTGGCCAACTAGTTCCCAGAGTGCACTGCGTGATATTTCGCCGCGATGGGGCGCATCGGTTTTGGAAGAAGTCTATTGAGAGACCGGAACTGCGGAGCCGGGAACGAGGAGTGGCCGCCAAAAGCTTCTCGTTCCGGCAGGAAGTGTAGAAGGGTGGGAAGGGAGGCAACAGAAGGCATAAACGGGCGAGGAGGATAAGTTTGTCTCCGAGAGGTCAAATACTTTACAAGGGGGAATACAGGACACTCCGCTCTATTGCATTAGACGCACTCATGGCCGCGCCGATTCCTCCCTTGGTGGCACGGGATAATTTGAATGTGCCCCTCTCCCGATTTCCTGTCCCCCCTCTCCCATTTTCCACTCTCGCCAGAGCACGTGACCGATATGCGTCACCGACGATGGCAAACGCGGGCGGGCGGTCACGCGGGCGCCGGGCTTGCGGGCGCGACGAGCGACGAACGCGACGAGTGTCAGTGGCCACCATTGCGCTACCTGGCGCCGCATCGGCGTGTTTCTCCGCATTAGTGCACGAAGTATGACGCGTTCGCCGCTGTAAGCAATCAAAGAAGATGACAGGAGGGGCAGTGTGCGCCGTCCTCCACTGCAAGAACCGGACCTTGCCGGGCAAAAACCTTTCATTCTTTCGGTTCCCTCGCGATCAGATCACGTAAGTAAACCACTTTGGTGTCGCGTTTCTCATGCTGACCTTTTATCGTCAGAGATAATTTGACACTATGTTATCGTTTCAGATGTCGGGAATGGGTCGTTCGATGCAACAGGTCGGACATCGATCACAGTGTTCAAAGTCGTGTAGCGGAGTACCTAAACAGCACATATCGGGTGTGCTCCGACCACTTTCATGACAGCGATTTTAAAAAAAGTGAAAGCCGTTTACAACTCCCTGTAACACCGAATTAGAGCGCAGCTCTTGAGGAGGAGGAGGGAAGGGTACTGGGGGGTGAAGTGACCTGGGGGGGTCACGTGACGATGCCGATGATGTCATCAGTGACGTCACTGATGACGTCCTCCGTGATGATGACGATGACGATGCGGATGCCGGTGACGTCATCAGTGACGTCACTGATGACGCCATCAGTGATGGTGACGATGACGATGCGGATGCCGGTGAGGTCATCAGTGACGTCACTGATGACGTCATCAGTGATGATGACGATGGGGATGCCGGTGACGTCATCAGTGACGATGAAGTCATCGGGGAGGTCACGTCACCTCGGCGAGGGGTCACGTGACCCTGAAGGTGGTCACGTGACCCCGGGGGGGGGGGGTCACGTGACCTCGGGGGTCACGTGACTTTGATTGTCACGTGACCTTGGAAGTCACATGACCCTGGGGAGGGATCATGTGACCTCTGCGAGTCGGGTGACCTTGGGGGTCACGTGACCTTGGGGGTCGCGTGACCTTAGGGTGACCTTGGTTACGCCGACGCCGACGGCGACGCCGACGCCGCTCAAGCCGGGAACGGGCCCCTAAGAGCTGCGCTCTAAAACCCGAATATGAGGAGTCAAAGGTAAGTGCGCAATTGCTATGTAAGAGCACATACGACCCTATGGTTGATATGATTGTCAAATCGCGTATAAAGGTAATAGAAGTTTTAAAAGGCCTTCGTCGTAAGACGGTATTCCGGGTGGGGTTTCATAGGTGGAGAGTCGTAGTCACGCTCCGATTTAATCATAGTAAACGGGCTACGCGCACTACAGGTGCTAGGTGTTTGTGGGGCTCGGAACTTTTGACTTAGTGACCTAGTTTCGCATATTGCAGACTCCGACTCGTACGGGTCGTTCTTGGTGCGATTTTCTGATCATTGGTATGTTCGGTATGGACATCCGCGATCTTAATAGCCACAGACGTACTTCACAATGATTGCATCATTGCACAGGCAAAGTAATGCCCGTGCCACACGGGTCACTCGAATGCCATTTACAACGAATGACATTAGTGTGATCGACGATTCGGCTCGCGATCTGCCGCGCGTGGAACGACCCACGCTCGGAGTGTCGCGCGCTGATGGCCTGATCGTTCAAATGTCATTCGTTGTGTATGGCATTCGAGTTGCCCGTGTGGCACGGGTATAATACCTGTATTGCCACTACATCTCTTGGTACAGTTGATATGTGTTGGGACTCTTGTTCAGTGCAAGAAATAAATATTATCTTTCTTTGTTGACGTTGCATATTCCCCACAATACAGCTCACACTTATTGTGTGCATGCGTGGAAACTAACTGCATTCACTCACGCAGGCTAAGAACGAAAGTGTGCCATAACACAACCTGGGTGCTAAAACCGCACATCATTGTGTGAACGAAGCCAGGTGTCCCGGAAGTGCCAGGAGTTCTAAACGAAGCCGACCGTCCTTCCTAACTGTCTGTGGATTAAATCTCATGCAAGTTGCCCTTTACTTGCAGCACCCTTGTCGACCATTAATGCTCTGGCGTTTGGCAGGCAGTCTGCCAAGAATGTGCCACTGCTGGCAAAAGCCAGCAGCGGCATGGCAAGACCAGCTTGTTCACTGCCAGTGGATGACAAGGACTGCATGTGTGAGTATAACATTTCGAGGATTGCCTTTCGAGTCAACCAGAGTTGTCCGAGTACTTTATTTCTTCGCATCTCTTTGTTGATAAAATCTCGTGGGCTGGCCTCTCTTACAACGCGCCTGTCTACCTGCTGTACTGGGCAGTTGTACGAGAATGTGCCGCCACTGGCGAACACCAGCGTGGCCAGCCCAGCTAGTGCACTGCCAGAGGGTGACAAGGGCCGCATGTGTGAGTATAACATTTCGAGGAGAGCCTTTCGAATCAACTAGAGTTGACCGAGTACTTTATTTCCTGGCATCTCTTTGTTGGTAAAATCTGATGTGGGCTTGCCTCTCTTACAGCGCGCCTGTTTACGTGCTGTGCTGGGGAGTTGGACGAGAATTTGCCGCCACTGGCGAACACCAGCGTGGCCAGCCCAGCTAGTGCACTGCCAGAGGATGAAAAGGGCCGCATGTGTGAGTATAACATTTCGAGGATAGCCTTTCGAATCAACTAGAGTTGACTGAGTACTTTATTTTCTGGCATCTCTCTGTTGATAAAATCTGATGTGGGCTGGCCTCTCTTACAGCGCGCCTGTCGACGTGCTCTGCTGGGGAGTTGGACGAGAATGTGCCGCCACTGGCGAACACCAGCGTGGCCAGCCCAGCTAGTGCACTGCCAGAGGATGACAAGGGCCGCATATGTGAGTATAACATTTCGAGGATAGCCTTTCGAATCAACTCGAGTTGACCGAGTACTTTATTTCCTCGCGTCTCTTTGTTGATAAAATCTGACGTGGTCTGGCCTCTCTTAAAGCGCGCCTGTCTACCTGCTGTACTGGGCAGTTTGAAAAGAATGTGCCGCCACTGGCGAACACCAGTGTGGCCAGCCCAGCTAGTGCACTGCCAGTGAATGACAAGGGCCGCATGTGTGAGTATAACATTTCCAGGATAGCCTTCCGAATCAACCAGAGTTTACCGAGTACTTTATTTCCTCGCGTCTTTTTGTTGATAAAATCTCATGTGGGCTGGCCTCTCTTACAGCGCGCCTGTCTACCTGCTCTGCTGGGCTGTTGGACAAGAATGTGCCGCCACTGGCGAACACCAGCGTGGCCAGCGAGCTAGTGCACTGATAGTGGATGACAAGGGCCGCATGTGTGAGTATAACATTTCCAGTATAGCCTTTCGAATCAACCAGAGTTGACCGAGTACTTTATCTTTTCACATTTCTTTGTTCGTAAAATCTTACGCGTGTCACCTTCTGCCTACAGCACCCCAGTGGACTATGAATTCTCAGGCAGTTGCTAGACACTCTGTCAAGAATGTGCCGCTGCTGGTGAAAGCCGGTGACAGTGGAAAGCCCAGCTGGAGGACTGCCTCTGGCGGAAAAAGGGTCAGTGTGTAAGTATAACGTTTGCAGAATGTTCGTTCGCATCAACCAGATTTGACTGAAGACTGTTTTTTCGCTTCTTTTTCTTGATGAAATCTCATGTGCACTGGCCAGCGCTCCTGTCTACGGGACATGCTGGGACGGTTGCTGGGCAGTCCGATGACTATATGCCACCACTGGCTGACAGCATGGTTGATGGGGCAGGCCTTTCACGCCTTCGTGACAGTTTTCACATCAAACTCCAAGATGCCAGACAACCTAAGCGGACTCAAGTATACTGCCAGCAGCAGATCGCCCAACTGAAAGCCAATGTTCGGAACTCTCAAAAGGTGGCCTATGCACAGCGAAAGCTCGTAAGCCGGTTAAGAGCTGAGACAAACTCCCTAAGACAGGCATCCTCACGAAACAAATTGTTACAAAAACTTGTTCATGTCAGCGTTTCACAGGATTTTCTTCTGAGTCAGTCAAAACAGCTCCAGAAAAAATTGAAGGGCTTTCGGTACACCGAGTACGACAATAACTTTGCTTTGGCGTTACATTATTGTTCGCCAAAGGCCTACTTATTCTTGTGCAAGATATTTTGTTTACCGGCTGTGAGGTCCCTGCGTAGATGGTTGAGTGCCCTTGATGTACGTCCTGGGCTCAATGAAAGTGTCCTAAAAATGCTTTAAATGAAGGCTGATAGCTTGTCAGTAGCAGAGAAGCTTGTCTGTGTTGTGATCGATGAAATTGCTTTGAAGGAGCACATCAGTTATGATGCACGAAGCGACTTGCTTAAAGGTTTTGTAGCGGGTGCAGACAAGCTTGTGCACACGACTCAAGCACTTACTGTGATGATCAAGGGACTGAAAAGGGGACACAAGCAGGTGGTTCGTTACTACCTCACGCACAATGCCATGCCTGGGGCAGTCTTAAAAGACATTGTTATAAATGTCCTAACAAGGATACGACAGACCGGCTTTATCCCTAAGGTTCTCGTCTGTGACCGGGAACAAAATAATATCTTGATGCGCAGGCTCTTGGGAGTTACGACTGAAAAGCCATTTTTTGAGATGGAAGGAGAAAGAATCTTTTTTCTTGCATGATCCTCCTTACCGTCTGAAGGTGACTTGGAACAATTTGAGAAAGTTTGATTTCTTGCAAGGGGATAAGATCTACAAGTGCGGTCGCATCAGGGAGGTTTATGACAAAGATAAATCAATGGTGCTAAGAATGGCACCGAAGCTAAGAAACATTCATGTGGAACTTCCACCATTCTCTCCCATGCGTGTGTGTTTGGCTGCCCAAACGTTAAGTCATTCGGTAAGCAGAGGTACCTTGACCCATGTTTCTTTGGGGTCGATGGAGCCGTCAGCTGCACATACTGCTTGGTTAATAGAAACGCTGGATTGTCTCTTCGACTCATTCAATTCATCAAAACTGCACGACGCAAGGCCCTACAAGCGTGGCCTCAGTGATGCGTCGCTACACTGGAAACTTTGGGAACAAATGGAAAGCTTCTTCCGGAAAATACGAATCCTTAACTCTCATATTAAGAATCCTGCCTGCTTAGCTGGATGGATTGACAACATCCACAGTGTTCGTCTACTTTGGGAAGAACTTAGGGACTCGTATAAATTTCGATTCCTGTTCTTAAGGAGGCTGACACATGATTGCATTGAAAATCTCTTCTCTGTATTTCGTTTTAAAGGGGGCAACAACTCCAACCCAGATGCCTGTAAATTCCTTTCATCCATTCGAGCTGTAATGATGAATAATACGCTGCACCCAGCCGACAGAGGAAACAGCGAGCACGACATAGGTAAATTCTTGGTAAAAAAGCAAGACATTTAGTCGCGGACTGTGAAGGTTATTAGTGATCAAAGCCAACGCCGTGACAAACCGAGCAATGAGACTTTTAGATATGACATGCTGCAGAATAATGCAACACCATGTGTGACCGGCTTGGCATGCTTTAAGTTGCCTCACAGTGTCGTGCCAAACTCACATCAGAAACTGCTGTAGGGAGTGACGACATACTAATTGATTTGAAGAAGTATGAAAATGCACGAATGTATTTCCCTTTGGAGAACGCAAAAATGCTTGGGAAAACTATAACAAGCACTTTTCACAGACACGTGGATACTTTCCTTCTTGAGTCATCAGGTAAAGTTAAGTTGAGGCTGAAGCAGAAAGTGTCTATACCACCAAACTTCGACGCCTGCGAGTCTTGCTTGGAAGTGTTTATTGACAAGTTCCTCAATGTCATGTTTAATGCTTTCATAAAAAAAGAAAATGAAGGTATTCGACAAAAAGTGAATAAAAGAAACTAGAAGGCCATAAAGGTACTTCACGAGTAGGTTTTTGTGTTCAACAGGGATCTTTCTTGAATGCTAAGCTGTATATACTTGTTCAAATCGTTATTGCGTGTGCAAAAAGAGATCTGTGTTGAATGCTGAGCTTTATATACTTGTTCAAACCGTTATTGCGTGTGTAAAAAGAGATCTGGTGTTTTCTGAATGCAAAGCTGTACAAATTTGTTCAATGTGCAATAAATATTGTTCCAACGAAAAAAAATTGTCCAATGACGTTTGTAAGTGGAATCTGAGTTCGCACCTTCAATTATCATTCTAAAATACTAGAGAAGTCCGAACCAACTTTGTTCAAGGCCAGCATGGTCTATTAGGAATAATGTTGACTATTCATGAACTAATGAAAAATTATTCCGATCTTTCTGAATATCTTTCCTGTTGCCTTGGGCTGCCGCAAAGCACCATCTATTCGCAAGTTAAATAGCGAGAAATGGACCACTGCATTAAATCCTCTCATATCTAATACACAGAACCACACTTTGATTTCAAAATTATGTTCCAGCCAGACATTCCCGAACCCAGCACTTTAAAAAATTTTCGACATACCGAGCTCGCGAAAATAGGGTCGTTTACTCAACGTACCTTCTCGGGTGCTTTAGCGATAATCATAGTAGCAAACACTTAGCGGTGAAGTATATGACAGCGCATAGCTGTGCCCTCTAAACGTGCTTCTCGTGTCGACATAGTTCCTTATTATTAGTTGCTCCGCACTGCTTTGAATTGTGGTTACGACTAAGCACACTTGTTATGCCAGCTCTCAAAACCGCTCGTACAAATTTTGATACCCGCTGATCGAGCTACAATGCGTGAAGTTTATTTAACAGAACGTAGACATAGAGCTCATCCTACGTATATGCGCCCTCTAAGTGAGTCACCAATGAAGCGTTCGCTGTATTTTTTTTTTCAAATTCAAGAGACGACCTACGTCGCCGCGACCGAACAGCGTCCACATACTAACAAGGTTCGGCCGGTAGCAAAATATCCCGCACCGAGAGACGGCGCTAGTCACCATCCGATTCTAAAGGAGAAAACGGCACCGCCATGACTCATCCACGCAAAACCTGTCGTCCCCGATGCCATTGTATTCGCGGGGAGTATCCTGTATTCCCCCTCGTAAAGTATTTGGAGAGATGTTCCTCAGTGGGACTGCTTGCTGTGCTTCAAGTCCAACGACAGACAAGAACTCGTCCGTCGTCGATCGTTTGTCGGCGCTTGTCGGCGATTGTCGCAGGAGTCGGTCGTTGCAGTGGGACAGCATCGGCGACACGGAACTTTGTGGTGTCGTCGGACAAAAAACGGTGTTTGTCGCTCTAGTGGGACGAGGCTATAACACTCTTTAATATCGCTGGCCGTGAAGTGCCAGCGTGTTGGGGTCGCTAGGAGTTCGCGGTCTTTCATTTAATTTTAGGCGCATCCGCTTTCGGACGCTGCGAACATGTGGCGCGTACACTACGATGAAACTCGAGATGAGAAATTAAGACAAAAACGGTCAAGGCAAACGCAGCTGGGGGTTTATTGAGAACAAAGCGTGAGTGGATACATATTAAAAGGTTAAAAGGCCCGAACAAACAGGACGAAAAAAGACACACGTACAACACGGACAGGCGCGAAATTCCAACTGATTTATTGAAATACAAATCATCGTCAAACTCGATTCCAATCGCCTGAACACATACAACTGATAAAAAATTCTTATCGCTCAATACAGACATCCTTCAAGAAATGCAATTTTTTGGTTAACAAATAAAGAGACACGCAGATAAACACACGCATCCTAAACATCAAAACTAATCCTCGCCGGAGGCTCTTGCTTGAATATTGGCACATTCAGACAACGCCAACAAACATTAATAGGTCTCTTGGCGCACTGCCATCTGTGTATATGAACGGGCTCCACCCTGTGTCTTCAAAAAACTATCAAAGAGGAAGAAGATTGGATCGTGCACATTCGCCTCCGTCATAGAGGAAAAAGAAGATTGCGGCTCCTTTCCGCCATAGTCGCCCCTGCCCTACTGAAAAAACCCTTATAAAAATTCATACTGGTTGACCCGTATACCTCATACGGTGTTATGGGGTACGGGTCTCCTGTATGCTACTGAAAACCCGTACCTGTACAGGTTGACCCATTCAGATACAGGAACCCGTTCGGATACGGGGCCCGTACCGGTACGGGTTGAACCGTTTAGGTAGGGAAACCGTTTCTGTACGGGTTGACCCGTTTAGATATAGGAACCCGTACCTTACAGGTTGACTTATTTAGATATAGGAACCAATATTTATGCATGTTCATCTGTTCAGATACAGAAACCTATATCTTTAAAGGTTTATCCGTTCTGATGCAGTAATAGGAATCAACATGGTGTCCAACGTTTGCAAACAGATGGTTGTATCTTTGCAGGTTTAACAATTCGCATGCATTTGTCATGCAAAGAATGAGCATGAGCCAGGTCATTTCAGGTTATATATGTATTTAGTGAACGCAAATTGGCATCTGCAGAACACCAACAAGAAGCTTAACCTCTAAGCAAGCTTAGAAGACGAACTTCTAGTTAATATGGTGCAGTAGGATATTAACAAATTTGCATACTGCAGTAGATTCCCCCGAGCTGTCCTCTTCCTTGGAGAGGCCTCTCGAAGATGCCTCCCTAGGTACTCGTTGAAGGCATCTGCAGGGGAAAAGAATACAACAACAAGTCATGTATATCTACAGTTTCCTGAAAAATTTAATATTTTACTTCCTGCAATTATAAGCAAGCAATTTCCACTACAATTTATGCTTTGTTAATATCTTGTGTTACCATGTAGATCCCAAGAGCAGGCATGCATGATTCGGCACGAAAGTTTTGAAGATGTAGACCCAACAGCAGGCATGCATGATTCGGCCCGAAAGTTTTGAACCAGTTCAGACTGAGTTCA